CAGGGACTGATGCTGGAGGACGTGGGGACTTTTGGTGAATCCCACAAGCATCACTCTGGGCACAAGCAGGGCACCCCATTCCCCTCCCCTGACCTGGGCTCTAAAGCCAACAGCCACAGTGCCACCACAGCTCGCTGCCCTGCACAGGCTAGTGCCTACTCCACCCCTGCACCCTTCTCCACGGTACCAAACCCACACTGGGGATAGTTGACTCCCTCCAGCCCTTGTCCCCAACCCAGGAGACAAACAGCCCTTCCTTATGGGACCTCGGGAATCATTCTGGTTTAAGCAACACCTTCTGCTGCCTCATCCTCTGCCATCCCATCTCTGACTCAAGCTCTGCTTGCACCACCCACATCCTTACTGCAGGCGTGCTGGACAAGGGGCTGCCGAAATCCTGCCCTCTTTCCAGAGAGCTGTGAAGTGTGGGGAGGGGTGGCATCAGGGGACTGCCCGGGCTTGGCTGGAGGGGATGATATAGGTGATGCCTTATCTCTGCTCCCTCCTCTTGCCACCCTCCTTCATCATTTCCATTAAAGTCTGTTGTTTTGTGAATGCTGCCAGTGTGGTTGGCCCTGCTTCTGCAGGCCCCATGGATTGGGGAGGGAGGAGAGACATGGAAATGGAGAGTATGGATGGGTGCTGGGGCCGGGGTGACAGGGACCTCAAACACCCCACCTGCTCTTCTTCTGGAGGGCCTGGGTCCCTACCACCCACTGAGCAGCAGATGGAGCCTTCCAGGGGGCTGCCCCTGAAGATGCTCTTGACAGCGACAGCAGGCAAGGCAGAGCCCTGGGGCGCAGCAGTGAGGTGGCCACCCTGCGCAGCATGGGCTGCAGAGATCTGGAGCCCCAACCCTTCCCCGCAAACTCCAGGCCACTCCCTCTCTCCTGTCTGACCTGACCTGGAGCTCCCGGAGTGTGGCCCAGGAGACCTTGCCCAGCCGTCTGCTCTTGGTGCCCCAGGCCCACCACCCTGCCCTGGACTGAGCCTGCTGCCCAACCGCTGACTGCCCCTCCCCACCCCCAGGCCCTCTGATGCGGCTCTGCCCGCTCCCCTGCCCTTGTCCATCTCAAGCCCAGCATGCCCCGACTCTTGTTATACCCAATTGTTGCTGTGGTGGTTCACAGGATTTTTTTACGAAATAAAATTTTTTATTATAAGTGTAATATACTTTCAGAACATTTAGAAAATAAGAAAAAGTCACCTGTAAGCCCACCTCCACTCACCCCCAACCCAACCACAATCAGTATCTTGGTGTACTTCCTTCTAGCGTTTTCTCCAAGGATCTGACTTACGCACAGTTGAGCTGGTGTGTTTGTACTCGGTTCTTCCTTTAACACTGTGTTGTGATCATTTTCTGTGTTGCTACCTGACCTTCATTTTAAATGGCTGCTTATGTTCCATAAGTGGCTTCCCTGTGATTTATGTAACTATCCCTTATTAAAAATTAGGTTTCTTCATTGTTTGCAAAGCTAGGTTATTTTCATTTCTTCATGGGACAGAAAAAAAAGAAAAAAAAAAATAAGGAACTGCTACTCTTCACTGTGCCCTGCTTTCATCTAACTGATCCATTTCCTCCCTGATCAGGCATTGAGGGAGACACCATTTGTTTCCATTTTACAGAAGAAGAAACAGTCAGGTGGGGGTTAAGTGGGTCGCCCAAGGTCACACAGCAATTTTACTGGCAAAATTGGGATTTGGACCAAGTTTCCTGCCTCAAGCTGCCTTATTTATTGTATAATCTTCATGCTTAATGGACTCCGCAGACGGGCCTGCTGGCCTCTCTGTCCTCCTCCTTCCAATGGAGGCACTTCACGGCTGGTCAGGTTCCAAGTGGCCCTGAGTGACCCACCCCTACCTACACTTCACCTTATAGAGCCATGTCCTGATGTCACCCCAGAACTCCAAAGACGGGGTCCTTCCTGTGGGAAGATGGGGATGTCCAGGTCACTGGGTCTCTCTCTTCCCCAAGAGACCTCTCTGCTGTCTCCCCTTTCATGGTGGGTCACAGCGCCCTTGAGGGCACACTGCAAACAGCAGGTGGACCAAACGTTCCAGGACAGGACCTGGGAATGAAGCCAGTCCCGGTGGGGACTGACCCTGAGACTCGGTGTGGGTCATCTGGTGGCACTCTTCCTCATGGAGGCTTAGCTGGCTCACCACCGCCCAGCCGGCCCTTCCGGCCTCTGCTCCTCCCAGCACCCCCACTGCCCGCCTTTGGCTCCAGCCCCTGTCACTGGCCCGGATAGCACAGCCATGCACCCTTCAGAGCTAGAAGTGACTTCGGGGAGGGTATATCCAATGCTGCCCTTTTCTTTTTTCTTATAAAGTATATTTTTTAGGCTTTTTATTTAGAAATGATTTTAGATTTACCATCAAGTCACAAAGATACAGAAGGTTCACAGTTACCTTTCATCCAGGTTTCTGTCCTGTTAGCATCTTTCATACCACACACAGTGATCAAAACTAAGACACTGATATCCACACAAAACTATTAACTAGGCAACAGACTTTACTGGGGTTTCGCCAGTCTTCCACTAACACCCTTTTCTGTTTCAGTATTCGCCAGTGCCTGCATCTTGCAGATGGCCTAGAGGGTAGATGGGGCTCCCTCACAGCCAGCTCGTGGCAAAGCGCCCGCTGAAGCCAGATTCCTCCTCCCTGTACCTCGGGCTCCCGCCCTCCTCACCCTTCCTACCTTGTCAAGGGACAGGGTTTGCTGCTTGGTAAATGACTCCAGTGTCACAGACACCTGTGCCTCACCCTGCCTGCCAGTCCCTGTCCCTGTTCCCAAGGTTGCCTACACTGCGTTCCTGCACACGTGCCAGCCTGCACATGCGTGTCCACGTGCCCTGAAACAGCTGGCTCAGGCTGCTCCCAAGGGTGCTGGGAGCCTGGGACAGCATGGCCCACCAGTTTGGCCACTCCTGTCTACCACCTGTGCAGCCACCCCCACCAGCCAGCGAACTTCCCTCTCTGGGAATGGAGGATGCAGAGCAAACTTGACGGAGACCTTCCTTTGTTTCTGGTTCTGGAGGTTTCTATCGCAGCATCACCCCCACCCCACCCCAACCCATCCCCGCCCCCTGCAGCCCCCAGCTTTTCCTGTTCTATCTCAGGGCTTCTCTTGTGTCAGTGTGGTGTGCGCTCTTCCTCATGCTGCCTTGAGAAGTTCTACTTTCTGTTGTCTCCCTCGGCACTCCTGCAAGGGCTGGGCACACCCCTCGAGGCCCCTCTGCCTGTGCAGCCCTTCACAGTTTACAAGGGGCTTTTGCGGTGCCTCTGTGCTCCTCACCACTTAACAGGAGAGGGGCACTTTCCCGGGGATGGCGGGAGCGGAGCTGTGGTTTGTTGCCTCTTTGCTCTTCCAGGCAGCCAGGCTGTCAGGTGTTTATCTTAGGCCGCCTCCGAGGCGCTCAGAGCCCTCTCCAGACATGACCTCACTCTCTCTCAAATCATCCCCGGGAGGCAGAAAGGAGGCTGGGACCAATGCTCTCCCCACTTCACAGATGGGAAAACCGAGGGGGACACACACACGCACACGCACACACAGCAAATGCACTGACAAGCTGCTCTGCAGTCCTGGGGTCCCGATTCTCAGCCCCGTGAGGCCAGTTGTTTCGGTAGGTGACAGGTCTTGGATAGGGTTGGGGGCAGCAGTGCTCACCAAGTGCCTCTAAAGATTGCGGGTCCGGGGATACACCCAGCCTAACACCAGCCCTGCCTCCAGGGACTTGCCGTCAGTTCCATGTACGTGAGAAGAGCCTGAAAGGGCTGACCTGCGGTGGCTAGAATTTCTGAGAGTACAGGCTAGTTCCATGGCGGCCCTGTAGGCAAACGTCACTAAAGTGGGTCTTTGTGTGGTAGCAACAAGTGCTGTGGGTGGGAAGGCCCAGCCTGCAGGGTTGGTGGGCTGTCTGGTGATGGTGGCCTATGCTGGACAATCCACAGAGCTCCTCCCATGACGTCTCACCTTCCCAACAACCCTAGGAGGGAAGAGCTGTTATGAGCCTGCTCTACAGATGAGGAAACTGAGGCCCACAACTTATCCAGGGGCACAGAGCCAGCTAGGGAGAAGGGCTGGGCATCCGGCTCCAAGTCCAACGCTTTATTCCACAAGACGCTATCCCCCAGAAGGGAGGTGCACAAAGCCAGCAGGAGGGAAAGCAGGGACCTAACTGGGGATGAGAAAGCCAGGCTCTGCTGGCTTCACAGTTTCACTCCAGCTGGCCTTGCCTGCATGTCCTGGGCAGAGGTTAAAGGAAGCTCGGAAGAGGAAAGGTCAGGCTGGGAGAGAAGCAGGAGCTGACCAAAACAACCCACACCCTGCTCTCAGTGCGCCAGGCCTGCAAGCTGGGGTGTGGGCAGCAAAGGGAAAGGAGCAGGCGCCCCTGCCCTCCGAAGGCTCCCAGTCTGCAGCGGGAGGGCCCTGAGCCGGCGTGGGACGTGCAGTGGGCGGGGCACCCGCCGGACACCGACCCAGGGCTGGGCCTGTGCCTTCCAGGCCCTCTCTCTGTCCCAAATCCCCTCCTCCCATCGCCAGCCACGCTTTGACCATCCCAGCCCCGCTCCCTCCCTCCTCGAGCGCCTGTCACACCCCCTACCCAAGCCGATCATTTAGCACTTGGTTTATAACCCTGAGTTGACTTTTTATTCAATGTCTTTGTCCACCTCCCCAACTAGATCAGAACCTCCTCCAAGGCAGGAGGTGACATTTCAGTACATTTTTAGTGAAGAAAGGTTATTTGGGAAGTGATCATTTCAAGCAATGCCGTGGTACGTTTAAGGCAGAAGTCGGACAGTGGGTCCTAGCCGCGGCCCCGGGCCTCCGGGACGTCAGTGGGCTTGTTGTGACGTCACCGTCGTTGGACTCTGCGGCGCTCCGCAGCCTGTAGGCGGGATGACGTCACCGTCGGAACCCGCGCAGACAAGTGCTCGCTGGAGGAATTAGCGAGGCCGGCGGCCGGATCGCGCGGGGAGGCAACCGGGGGGGGAGGGGCCGAGGGAGAGCAGCTGCCGGGCGGGGGCCGCGAGGCTCGGCCGCGCGCCTGGCGCCCCGTGCGGCCCTGCCCCCGCCCCGCCCCGCCCTGCGCCGGCTGCCGCGGACCAGCCAATCCGGGCGGCCACGGCCGCGCGCAGCCTCCCCGCGGCCGGCTCGCCGAGCGCTTCCGCCGCGCCCGCGCCGGCCGGCCTCGGGGAGGGGCAGGCCCGCCGACCGCGCGCCCCGCCTGCCGGCTCCCCGGGGCGCCATGGCCTCGGAAGGCCTGGCAGGGGCGCTGGCGGCCGTGCTCGCGGGCCGGGGCCTGCGCGTGCAGGGCTGCGACTCGGGGCCGGCCGGGGAGCCGCTGGCGCCCGCGCGGCTGCGGAAGAACGTCTGCTACGTGGTGCTGGCCGTGTTCCTCAACGAGCAGGTGAGCGACGCGGGGCAGAGGACCTCCGCGTGGGTGGCGCTTCCCAGTTTTGCAAAGCACTCTCACTTACGCTTACATCCTGTGAGGCCCAGCCCTGCGACTGTCCGCTTATGCAGAGGAGGAAACAGGCCCGGGAGCCTGTTAGTCCCGTCCCCCTAGGCCTCAGTTCCTGGAGGGGAGGGCTGTCTTATTCCTCTTCCTTTCCCCGGAGTCTAGCGCAATGCCCGCTGCGGAGTGGGCTCTCTTAAATATCTGTCCAGTGCTTCAGAGACCTCGCCCGGGTCCCGTGGGCAGTAATGGCACAACCTGCACCTACACTGACTTTCTGACCCCCTTGTGATGCTCTTTTTGGTGCTGATCCCTGTACGAGTTGCTGGAACAACAGCTAGAAGGGGCCAGGGCCGTGGATAGGAGTTGTAGGGGGTTGGGGCATGTTTCAAAGCCCAGTGTGGGGACCGGGCGCAAGCAGTTTGTAAACCGCGGACGGAGGTGAGAGATACACAGTGACACATGCAGACACGAATCGTACAGGACACATGGCAGCTTCACTGAGGGGCCTGATCCCCAGCCCCTGAAGCAGCTCCCAGGAGTCTCACTCAGCCCCTTTCTAAAGTGGAAGTCTGAATGCAAAGAGGGATGAATTACAGAGCGAGACAGCTGCAGCCCCCAGCCACACAAGGGCTAGTCCCCCGAGGGCTCAACCGTTTGAAGGTGTCCTCAGGGAAGGGGGCGTTGGGCGACTGTATCTGAGATACGATGTGGCCCCAGGACAAGGGAAGCCTGCCGCTGTGCTGCTCCCCGGGAGCTCGCAGCCAGGCTGTGGTGGGGTGAGGATCCTCTCTCCCCTCAGGATGAGGTGCTACTGATCCAGGAGGCCAAGAAAGAGTGCCGTGGGTCGTGGTACCTCCCCGCAGGGAGAATGGAGCCAGGGGAGACCATCGTGGAGGCGCTGCAGCGGGAGGTGAAGGAGGAGGCGGGGCTGCAGTGTGAGCCTCTGACATTGCTGACCGTGGAGGAGCGGGGCCCCTCCTGGATCCGATTTGTCTTCCTTGCTCGCTCCACAGGTATGGCCCAACTGGTGGTAGTGTGGGCAGGGGGCAGCTGACCTTTCCCCCAGCTTGTCCTCAGGTGAGATGAGCCCCCATTCTGGCTGCTCCAAGCCCGGCATCTCCGAATTCCAGCCTGAGGACTTCACTCAGGGCCTCCCCCTGCCTCAGAGCTAGAATGCCTGGGTGGCCATTTCCTGTGCCAGGCCCAGCGCTTCTCTCAACACAAACCCTTTTCCCCACCCCATGCCCCACATCTCCCTCAGGTGGAATTCTCAAGACTTCTGAGGAGGCAGATGCAGAGTCCCTGCAGGCTGGCTGGTACCCACGAACCTCCCTGCCCACCCCGCTGCGCGCCCATGACATTCTGCACCTGGTAGAGCTAGCTGCCCAGCATCGCCAGCGAGCCAGGCACCCTCTCATTCTGCCCCAGGAGCTTCCCTGCAGTCTGGTCTGCCAGCGGCTCGTGGCCACCTTTACTAGTGTCCAGACAGTGTGGGTATTGGTGGGCACAGTGGGGATGCCTCACTTGCCCATCACTGCCTGTGGCTTCACCCCTGTGGAGCAGAGAGCTAGCATCAAGATGGCTGTCCTGCGGCTGCTGCAGGAATGTCTGACCCTGCAGCACTTGGCAGTGGAGACCAAGGGGTTGCTTGGACTGCAACACCTGGGCAAAAACCATACGGATGGTGTCTGCCTGGATGTGCTGGTGACGGTGGCTTTTCGGAATCCAGGCATCCAAAATGAGCCCCCCAAGGTGCGGGGCGAGAGCTACTTTTGGTGGAAGGTGACGGAGGAAGACCTACAAAGCCAGCTCTTACAGAGGCTTCAGGAATCATCTGTGGTGCCGGTCAACATATAGGAAGGTGCCATCAGTGGGCACGGAGCTGGGCATCTGTGCTCCCCTCCACCATGGCTTTGCCTCCTCGGAGGGAGGCAGGAGGTTGGCAGTCAGAGATCTTGTTACATTGGGAGCAGGGTGGTTCTCCTGGCTCTCAGGGGGACTTCCCTCTCTCCTCACTGTGGAGCACGTCCCTATATTGCACCAAAAGGGACAGTGCCTTTCACCAAGCAAGGAGTCCAGAGCTCAAGGACCCAATTACCCTGAGGACACAGTGAGGGCACTGCTCCCTAAGGGGCAGTGAGAACTTTCTGAACCTGAGATGGCATTTACTCCTCATCTCCTGGGTCTGCCTGCCTTGGTAAAGCTCTACATCCGGATTCACAGGCACTTAGAATGTGGAGCAGGTGCTGGAGGAGGCCTCTCCCAGGGAGTGGGCCCCTTGCTGAGTAAATGGGTGTTGCTTACTCTGCCTTCCCGCCTGGCCTGAATGTCTCTGTGGGGAGGAGGTGAGCAGGAGGGGACCTGAGAAGCTCCTCCCCTTGTCTCACCGACAGCCTTCTGAGACGACAAGCTGTGGTGCAGGTGATGGGCAGGTGGGCTTCCTGCCCCAGCCCATGGGGGCTCCCTTCCTCTTGCCTGCCAAGGAGGGATGTGACCACATCCCCAGAGAAAACAACTCTAGCCCCTCCAAGGTTTGAGCAGCATGAAGGCCAGGACAAGCTTCCGCTGGGCGAGGAGCTGCCCTGCCTCTTGCCTGGTGTCCCTCCTGGGGCCCACAGGCTCCTGCCTCTGCCTTGTTACAACTCTAGCTCAAGCCAGACCCAAACCCTTTATTTCCCCTCAGTTCAGCTTAATCATAGTAGGAATTATTTTCTTAAAAGAAGAACTTTATGAAAATTTAAGGTAAAATCAAAGGAAATGAACAAATACTGTGTGCTACTCACTGCCTCTCACGTATGGATTTCTGATCCCGAGCAGGGAAACATGGGACTGGCCTTCCCTTCCAAGGCAAAGTGCCCTCCACTCTGGCACTGAAGGACCAGGTCACCTCACAGGCCCCTCCCAGCCCCTCCCTCCCTGTCTGGGCTGCCATCTTGTCTTTCTGGCCTCTGGGGCTGTGGTGAGAATCCTTTTCTCCCTTCGGAGGGCATCTTCCAAATGATGGAAGCAAGCCCTCACTTTGGCTCACTTCTCTACGTGTCTGAGGGGCCCACCAGTCCATAACCACATCGAAGACCGATGGTCTTTGCTTCTATTATTTAGTCTATAGTAGTTTTCAACCCTAGGTGCCCAATTAATCACTTGGAGAGCTTTAAAAATAACTCTGGGCCCACCCCTGAGATGCGATTTAACTGGTGCGGGGCGGGGAGGGGGGTGGGGGGGGGGGCCAGGGCACTGGTATTTTAAAAAGCAACCGAAGTGTTGCTCACGTGCACCCAGGGGAGAGCCACTGATCAGCCCTCTCTTGAGCCTTCAGCTTGCCCTGCCCTGGAGTGTTGGTGACCCCCTCAGAGGATCCCCACCCCCATATATTTAGGGACAAGGTTTTTACAGTATCAGGCTCACTGTTCACCACAAAAGCAGTCATACAACTCACAACATGAGCACCTAAAAATGAGACTTGCATAGAGCTGCTCCAGATGGCCCATTCCCTCACCATATCTCTGAGTTGTAGGTAAGCTGAGCAGAAAATGTGTTGTCTGGCCAAGAGAGGGGCTGGTCCTGGCAGGCGCTGAGGAACATCAGATTTGCATTGCCAGAGCCTGTCTGTTTACCAGCCCCAATACATGGCCCCCCTCTGCTCTAGTGATGGAAAAGGAATTTAATTTGTCTTCCTTGGGGCAGAAGACGGGCCCGAATTAGCAGTGGAGCCCTGGGCAGAAAGACACGAAGGGTGGAGACTAGGGCGGCTGTGTCCACGGAACCACATTTATTGCCATGCTGTGTAGGGGGACACTGTGCAAATGCTGACGAAAGACATCGATGAAGGAGGATGTGTGACTCCTGGACGCTTGAACATTGCTTAAATGTCTTCGGAATCGAAGAGTCCAGCCCCAGTTCCCCGACTGAGCTCCACTCTCCTGTCCCACACCAACACCCACGTGCACACACAGGCATGCATGCACATGCTCGGTGTCCTTCAGAGCAGCAAAGTCCTCCCCAGCTCGGAGGAATGCAGGAGAGAAGTCATTGAGTTTCTTTTCTTTCATGTCACCTCTTGGCAACCTGCGGCCAGCTTCTACAAGCGGCATGGGCAGGAAAAGGAAGCGAAAGGGGCTCTGGCCTGCTCCTCCTTGCCCAGGAGCCAAGCCAGCAACTGCAGTCTTGCTGTGAGGTAATGCCTGGCGCCACCTGTGTGTTCCTGCAGGTCGAGACAGATTCGGGCCGGGTGGGGTGGCAGCCCTGGCCATGGAGGGCATGCAGGGAGAATACCATGACTGGCTGCCTGTGCCCCAGCCGCTCCCATCCAGGCCTTGGGGGCCTGTTGTCATTGGGCATCCCGGCCTCATCTGTACCCTGAGCTCCCTTGCTCCCCTAGAAGAATGTTCCACTGAGAACACTGGGGGCTTGGCAGAATGCTGAGGGCGAGGCCTGGCCTCCCGGTCTCTGAGCCCCTCTGCCCAGGTGTGTGGACCTGCTGAGACAGGTTCAGAAGGCGCCAGAGAGAAAGCAGCTGGAGCGGGAGCCTGGCACCCAGCCCCCAGCTCCCCAGGCCCTCTCCTGCCCTGGCTGCAGCTGCATCAGGGCTCTCATTAGCAGCTGCCCCCGCCTGGGTGCGGAGCATCTTTGGGCATTTGCCATGAGGCAGTTGGGAATTTGCAACAGTCTCCAGGAAGAGGGGGCTTCCCCTGCAGCCCACTGCCCTTTCCCCAAGGGTTAAGCGAAGACAGGAGAAAATACGTCAAGTCTCAGCAGCAACTGTGGTACCTAGTGTGGCAGAGGCAGCTCCATGCCCCCAACTCTCTGGCCTGTGGCACTGATCGGCCTCAGAGCCATCAGCTCACCCCACCTCGTGCCCCTGGCATTGAGTCACAGGTCTTGGCCCCGGCCACAAATGGCCTGTAGGGGCAAGTGATAGGCACAGAGGGTCTGGGTGCTCACCTGGCCATCACCCAGCTCCCCTGAGAAGGCCCTGAGGACACCATTCTGCCCAGGAGGATATCTCAAAAGAATGCCCCTTGGTTTCTGGTATCTTGGAGACCCACCCCCTAAAGCCCAGCTTGGTGTGCCCAACGAGGCAAGGTCTTCTTGAGATAGCCTGGGAGCCTCCCAGGCTGAGGCCTCTGGGATGCAGAGGAGACAGTACCAGTGGCACTGCCAGATAGGAGGCAGCTCTTGGGCAGAGATGCAGACAGGAGTCTCTCCTCCTGCCATGCTCCTGGCTCAGACATGCCCTTCTGAGGGTGGGGAGAGGTGCACGTGAGGACCATGTGGGGGGAACTTGACAAAAGCAATGGCAGCCAGCTCCTTGCAGAATTCCTCAAGTACTACCACGCCCTGAAGGAGGGTCTGGTGGTCCAGCCTGAGGGAGAGAGTGTGGGGGTCATGGCTGGGAGGCAGCGGGAGCTGCCTATCGTGACATGCCAGTGTCCATGAGGTGTGACCCAGTGGGAGACACCTCTCAGTGAGGACAGAGCTCAGCAACGGGCCCTCCTCTGCCCCCAGCCTGGTGCCTCTCCCCGCCCCAAAGCACCCCATCTTCCCACCGCAGGGCTCTTCCTGGGGCACCCACTTCCTCAGTTACTTACTGCTCCCCAGGGACCTGACCCATCAGCTGCTTGCGCACCAGGAGCAGTTTGCCTGGGAACTGGGGTACCCTCTGAATTCTCTGCATCAAGTCCCCGATCACCTTGAGAGGAACAAGAGAGGACTGAAGGGGGCCCACTGGACTCCCAGCCTGGCTCTGCTGCTGCATGGGGGTGCTGCATGGTGCTTTCCCCTAGTGCTGGCAGGGGTGCTCACTTCTACAGCCCCCAACTCCCGACCTTGTGCCCTCCCTTGCTGCCTCCACCACTGGCACGCTCCCTGGTCCAGGCATCCTTACCCTGACAAGGACTGAGAACAGGCTCCTGCAGCCAGGGGCCAGGTTGATGTAGGGATCCAGGAGGTACTCGTGGATGTGGGGGTGGGGGAAGAGGGCAAGCCGGGACAGGACTGAGGTCACTTGCAGGTTCAGGCTGTATGGCTGTAAGGAACATGGTGGACAAGCCGAAGGTTGGCAGGGGTGGCGAGCATTTTTGCACTCCCCCATCAAGGCGCCTCGCCAGTGTGAACGTGTGTGGGGGTGGGAGACTCACGTGATGCGAATGTGTCATGGATTCCCTGAGGCTGAGGGCCAAAACGTGTTCGGGCGTGTAAAGCAGAGGCGAGATGGGGCCTCCTGCCTGGGGAAAGGGGCGGGGGACTGTGGAGCTGAAGAGCCAAACATGACTCGACCCCTGTGGCTGAGGCCTGCTCTCCTGGAGGATGCTGGAGGCACCAGCCTGGACTGCACCTGTGGGCCCTGGCCTTGTGGTGTGGGCCCCAGTCCTGTTGGTACCTGTTCCAAAATCCGGGACATTCGGTCAAACAGCATTTGGAGGAAGTGACCCTCAAAGAAAGGCCTTTCGGGCTCATGGGGGTCCAAGGGTGTGAGACTCTGAGGCCAGCCCCAGGGGGCGACTCGGGAGCTGCATTCCTGGAACTGAAACAGGAGGGAAGAGTTGAGGAGGCGGGCCCAGGGGTCAGGGGTCAAGAGGACCCACACAGGAAGGATGGGCTCAGGGCTCTTGGCCAGAGCTGAGAGCACCTTGTGCAGGAGAGCACAGAGAGAGAAGGCGGAGTTTATCAATCCCACAGCTTTGAGGGACAGGCAGCGGGTGCTGGCAGAGACCTCCACACTCACCAGTCCGTAAGCATCGTGGACGTACGTGTCATATCCGGTCTCCTCCAGGAAAGCTGAGGTCTTTGCTTCCTCAGGAACTAGGCAGAGGAAACTGAGAGACAGGACCTTAGGTATGGAGGGGCCCCACCTGGGCCACCCTGCTCTCCCCTGTTCCATCTCCAGCCCTGAAGGAACACTCCCACCCTGGCTGTACCCCATCCAGGCTACGGCCAAAGATGGAACAAAACTCAAGAGGCTCAGCCTTCCTGACCTGCTCCTACCTGTTGACGATCTCGGTCACTGCTGTTCTGCCATCTGAGTTGGTGGCAGGGGCTGGGGGAGGTTTTGTGGAGGGTTGAAACCCGGAGTCGAGGAAGCCGTCAGTGAAGTAGGGGTCTTCCTCCAGATCTCTGTGGCACCGAAGGGTGAACGGCTAAGTCTGGAGGTGCTGAGGGCCAGGCTGGGTCCTGAGCGGCCCGAGGCCTCCCAGAGGTGCCGGGTTTCACTTACAGGGTGTCCTCGTAACTCTCAGGCTCCGGTGAGCCCCGGGCCACATACGGGCGGCCCTCGAGGTTGCACAGGATCAGGCTGCGGATGATCTGCTCATGGGGCTTCTGGAGCAGCTCCTCAAACAGCCGCAGGGTGGCGACACTGATCTGGGGCAAGAAAGGGTCAGCAGGACACCTCTTCCCCACCCTGGCTTCTAGGGGTGCCTGGGAATTGCTTACCCAGAAAGAAAAGTCTCCCTGGAGGGGTCATCTCCCCTGGCCAGGGGTTAAGGTGGCAGGTTTTGGGGGGTCTGGGAACAGAAGTCTGGCCGGCCCCAGTTCCAGTACTAATTTGATGTGCATACCACTCTCTGTGCCTGTTTCCAAGTCTGGAAAACGGAATATGGGCCTCATCTAACTCAGAGGGGCTGTCAGCCTCAAACAAGCAAAGTGAATATAAAAGCAATTTGCAAAATATTAAGCGCCGTCACAAGTATGTGATCACAGAAAATTACTGTGTGGCAAAACCAGTCTGGCTACCAATCACCGCGTCACTGTTTTAGCCGGGGGAGTTTCAATGCCTCAAAGGTAGAACCACCTGGAAAGCTCAGGAAAATGGAGAGAAACTCTCAGGAAATCCCTTGGGCAAGGGTGGGTGGGAACAGGCAGAGACAAGGGCCCTCACTGCTCACCTCATCAGAGAGATGGTCACAGTGCCCGATGAGGTGGGAGCACAGAGTGCGGGGGCTGTCCTCGGGGGCTGCGGCCTGCTGGTCGGGGCCCAGGAGGAAGGCCACGGCCTCCCGCAGCAGCGCAGCGGGGCGGAGCTGGCGCAGGATGGCCGTGAGCAGGGCGGTGGATGTCAGGACGCTCTGCTCAGACCTACGTGGAGAGAGCACGGCGTGGGGCCCGGGGTGCCCAGAGCCAGGTGGCGAGGAGAGACCAGAGGAGTGAGGAGTGAAGGAGCATGGCTGGTATTTCTCTGCTCACTCCCCATCCCTCCTGAGGTCCTGGAGTCCAAGGGCAGGAGGCCTTGTTAGCCCACATGGCTCGGAGACATGTGTATCAAGGGGGCAGACCTGGCAAACTTTAACTGATGGAGCCCACACACTCATGTGACTTTGGGCAAGGGGGTGCCTGGCCTTAGAGACAGGAAGGGCTTGGTGGGGTGGGTGGTTTGATCCAGACCATGGCCGCACCCAAGGGAACTGGACATAAACTTACACGTGCAGGAGCTGGGGCTGCAGAATCTCCATGAATAACTTCTCAGCCACAGCCTTTGCCAAGGCATCTGCAACCACCTGGCACCAAAGAGCACGCCTTAAACACATTTTCTGCTGAGAAATAACTGTGTCCTTGCACAGCGTCTAACACAACAGGCGGAGGGTCCCTGCTAACGCTGGGCCCTGCCTGGCTCCTGAGAGACCCACTCAGCCCTCGAGGTGGAGACGGCCAAGAAAGCAGGGTGAAGCGGGGGCACCCACCCCCTGCTCACCGGGTGTGCCTCTGTGACGAGGTGGTCGCAGTAATCAAACCAGCCCAAGAAGGCAGCCAAGGCCTCCTTGCCAGGGAAGGAGGCCTCATCAGACGGGGCGCTGGGTAACCTGAGGGAGAGGCGGGAGGGGCTGTGAGGCCTGCCTCAGGGATGTCTGGAAGGTGGGCCTTTTCTCCCTCTGCCCTGGAACCACTGTTGCAGGGTGGGAGGGTGTCCAGTTCTACTGGGGGCTGTGTGGGCAGAAGCAAAAGTGATGCTTCCCTTGAGGGTGAGAAGGCCCTTGGGGATGGGCTTAACCTCGGGAACAGGGTGGCCAGCAGAGGTCCCCAGGCCTCCTGGAAAGCAAGAGGATAGGTGGGGTTTCTAGCCACTGCAGAAAGATGTAGCCCAGCCTCCCCCGGCCAGCGCCTACCTCCAGCTGATGCCCTCTAACGTGGCAATGTCCGCAGGGTCCAGGAAGGTGGGCACGGAGCGGTACAGCCGGCACAGATGCTCGACAATTGCAGGGCAGCAAGGGCTGCTCTGCACCAGGCAGGTGGCGGCTGCTGGGGAAGCCACGCTCACCAGGAGCAGTAGGTTCTCCTGGGCCTTCAGGGCCACCCGACTCTTCTAAAGGATAGAGGGACAACTCCAGGACGTGCATCTGAACCCCCAAGGCCCTCCTGGCAATTCGCCCGCCCCATCCCTGCCCGCTCCGCCTTGGCACTAGCACCTTGCTCTTGCACAGCCCAATCAGGGAGGTGATCAGGCTGCCCTCCCCAGGCCCTCCATCTGGCTCCTGGGTCTCAGCAGGCAGCTGGGTGGTCAAGGCCCGGGTCCCACAGGAAGCCCTGTCAGGAGCCTTGCTGTGGGGGTGCTCCTTGTCTTTGACGCTGGCTGCCTCTCTAGGCAGGGCGGAGGGTTCTCTGGACGCTTTCTTCCTACTGACAATCTTACCCTGCAGAGGAGGCCAGATGAGGCCACGTCATGGTGGAGACCATTCCCCAGGATGTCCCCTTAGGAATGCAGGACGTGCTGGCCATCAGGGCCTCAGCATGGAGCTGGAGAGGAAGCTGCCTGCTTGCCTCCCCTGGTACCTGCTCCATCCTTCCGCCTCCACAGAAGCGGGGGCTTGCCCTGGGGTCTGGGACCTCCCACTCCTGTTCCCCACAGAGATGCTCACTTCCAGGATGTAGGTGAGCAGGTCTGGATCCTGCTGGATCTTGGAGCAGAGGACAGTGGTGAACTGTACCTCTTCCTTTTCTGTGAGGGATCCAGGAACTGTCCCACCAAGCTGGAGAAGTTTCTGGAAGGGGAGCAGGATAGAAACAGAGAGGAATGGGTGGCAGGGAAGAGAGGGGCCCAGCCCCAGACCCCCTCGTTGGCTCCCTGGCCCCTCACCTGCACAGGCCTGTGGACGCTGAGGTAATGCAGGAGCGGGTGCTGCACCTGGGCCAGCACCCTGCTGAAGAACTGGAGCACCTGCTGCCGCATGCCTGGCGGGTACTGAGGGCCGGGGACAGAGGTGAGGCGCAGCGGGCCCTGCGGCTCGCCCCCCACAGAGCCAGGGCACGACCACCCTCAGCACTGCTAGGAGGGTACCTCGTCCTTCCCTGTTTGAAACTGGCCTCCCCTGTGCCACCCACCCGCTCCTGCTGTTTCCCTCCACGACCTGGTCATTGTGGAACATGCTATATGTGGCTCTGACTGCCCTGCCTCCCAACTAGGATTTCTGTCTGTTTTAGTCACTGCTGTGTCCCTAGCGCCTACGACATAGCCTGGCACGTGGTGGGTCCTCTGTAAGTCTTTGCTGAACGAATACTGACTGAATGAAAGGGAGCATTTCCTCAACCTCAACGACAGCGAGAACAGGACTCCAGAAGCCTCGCGAGGTGGTGGGAAGTTCTAGGAGACACAGCCAAGGTACCCCCCGATCTGTGTCCACCCCGCCCCAGTGTTCAGACTGGGAGGGACACAGGTAGCAGAGCCTGGAGCCCAGGGGCCCTGGCTCAGGGAGGAAGGCTCCAGAGGCACCGGGGTCCTGCCCACCTCAGCCTTGCCCAGCGTGCACAGCGTCTCCAGGATCTTGTGCTGCAGCAGGTACTCCAGACAGGGCCCCGCCTCGCCGGCCGCTGCCTGCTGCCTCTCCTCGTACACCAGGATGTCCAGCATCTGCTTCAAGCGCCAGGGAATATCTGTTTTCTTGGCTGGGGTGTTTTCATCTAACGGAGATTCAGACAATGAGGGTGAGTGGGGTGAAGAGGGGCACTCCGCCCTGGTGGGGTCCAGCCCGAGGGGCTGTCGGGGAGCGTGGAGGCTGAGAGCAACCTGGAGCGAGGCCAGGTTAGCAGTTTGCTTCAAACAAAGCGCAGAGGAAATGGAAGTTTACAGTTGAAGCCTCTATATTTAAAAAGACAAAAGACCTGGCCAGGCCCAGGACACAATTCTCTGACTGAGAGTGTATGCATGCCCTAGCACTTTATTAGAGAGCAGCAGCAGCATTTTCTCTCCAAACCCTGGGGCCTACAGAAAGGTAGGTTTCCAGGGCTGCAGGCCAGCTCTGGGCCTGAGTGAGAAGCTGTGGGCTCAGGGGTCTCTGTCATATAATTTAGAAGCCATTTTCTAGTTGCTTCTTGACAGATAACCTCCTGGAGTCTGCCTATGTCCCTTTTACACTCACGGAAGGCAAGAGCCTATTTTTAAAAAGCACAAAAAAAGTCCGTGCACAACCATGCGTTCAGACTCGAGCCTGCTGCGCTGTGCCGAGGTCCTAAGAGAGAAGCTGGTGAGTGGGGTTTTCTCAGTCAGAGTCTCAGAGGGTACAGCATTTCTGTAAAGAAAGGGGACTGGCCGTGGAGCACCTCCGAGTTTTTCTTGAAAGCACAGGCTCTTGAGCAAGGCAGCCCGCCTCCTCCACCTGCACTTGGGTCTAGGGAACGTTCTGGAAATTAACAGTTGGGCCCTGGTGAAGTCCTAGGCGGACCCGAGTCAGCTGTGGATCTCTCCCTACTCTCCTGGTACACTGGGGCTCTCTGTCAAGAGATCTTCCACTTATAAGACGAATAAGTCATGGGATGTAACGTACAGCAGGGCGACTATGGTTAACAATATTGTATCCCGTTTGAGAATTGCTAAGAGAGCAGATCTTAAAAGTTCTCATCACAAGAAAAAAAATTTCTAAGTATGTGAGGTGACACATGTTAACCAGACTTACTGTGGGGATCATTTCACAATATATCCATAGACTGAATCAATGTATTGTACACCCGAAACTAATATAAGGTTATATGTCAATTATATCTCAGTAAAAAAAAAAAATGTCCAGTCTCAAGCAGTCATTCTCAACTAGGGGTGATTTTGCCCCCGGGACAGGCGGCGATGTCTGGAGATGTTTACGGTTATCACGATGGGGAAAGGGTGCTGCTGGCATCTAGTGCGTAGAGGTCAGAGTTGCTGCCAAACATCCTACAAGGCTCCCCACAGCCCCCACAACAAAGAAGGATCCAGTCTAACATCAACAGTGTCAAGACTGAGGAACCTGGTCTAAAAGAACACTCAGAGGGCCCCAAAGGCCACTTTTCAACTTCTTGGGCTGGCTCAGGCTGGAAAGAAAGCCTGTAGGAAAGGGGTAGGCTGGAATCAAACCCCTGTCTGAACCACGAGGTGGAAAGCTACGGATCCAGGACAGGGTTACCTGGCAACCAGTGTGTAGCCACCAATACCAGCAGTCAATCAGATCCCGCCCCCTGCATGAGCGATCCTGATGGGCCCAGGTGACCTGAGGCTTTGGCTCTCTGAGGCTTCAGCTAGGGGACAAGGACCCAGGCCCCGTACGCACTGCCGCTGTGGTGGCTGTTCCCTTCCTCCCCCAGATCACTACAAGGGAAATGCCCTCTAAGTTGGCTCAGGGAAAAGAAGAACTTATTCAAGTTCTTTTCTTTTAATCAGTAAGCCCTGGGCACAGGCACTTGTGGACTGAAGGTCTGGACACTCTACCCAGCTGGAAGCTGGGGGTGAGTGGAGCTCAACCTCTGCCTTACGGAGTCAGGCCAGTGAGACCCCTAACCAAATTGTCCCCACACTCATTCACACAGCTCCTCTCTCAAAAGGTCAGGGTGGATGGGGCCAGCCCCCACTCTGAACTCCTGGGCAGTGGATGTCACCTTCCCCAGGACACCTGTGCCTCTGAGTTGCATGGTGACCCTGCCCACACCTTCCTCCCTGCGCCCTGCAGGGGTCCCCGGGGTTGGGGAACACGAGGCCCCACCTGTGCTTTCGATGTAGTAGTGTGTGATGCCCTTCCAGTGCTCCACAAAGGCCCCCAGCAGGTCGATGCTGGGCTCCCGCTGCAGAGAGAACAGAGACAGAACCTAAGTGGCTGCCATGGTGATCGTGGGCTCTGCCACACCTGGCACTCATCAGAACAGACATTCCACCACCAACTGAGTGTCAAGTCAGTGCTGGACCCTGGAGGAGGGACTATGATCCTCAGTTCTCAAAGGAAAAAGTAATACATTTTCTCTAGGACACATCTGTATTGTCTCCATATCTTGCCAACAATTTCCTGGCACCTGTCCCCAGACCCCCCGTCCCTCCTGGAAATGCTGTACTCCTGCTACATGCCATGATTCCACAGCCCCTGTCCCGCAGGAGCCATGAATGTTGTTGGGGGAAACAGACACAGAAACAGATCATTTCAATACAACATGGTTATGCTATAATAAAGGTACACAAAAGAAACAGGAGGACACCCCAAAAACAACAAAATCAAAATGATACAGATGGGAAACGTGGCAAAGACAAAGCTTTCAGTTCCCTCTCAATCTGAGAGTCTGCAAAAATCTGTGTTCAAGGCCGTGACAGGCCCAGTCCAGCCAGATGGGCAACACCTACATATCAAGCCAGCGCCCTGCACGTCATGTGCTTGCATCTTTTGTCCAAGGCCGCAGGCTGAGCACCCCAACTCCTTCTGAGCCAGCTCTGCTCCTCTCCATACCTCCTCTGGCTCCTTCTATCAGCACCAGAGAATTCTGACTCTGCTACGAGCAAGCCCTAACCCTCACCCTTTTTTCAGAAGTGCTCTCTCCATCTCCACGCTCTGGCTAGAACTGGCCTTGAACTGCTAAGTACCACTTTCCCAAAAAACGTCTCCAATAAAGGGCATTTCTTGCCTTTCCTTGCACAGTAAATGTCTGCAGGAGAAAAATGCATAATCAAATAGTCCCTACCCACAGATGCTCATTTCTCCCTCCCGGTGTTGGCTCAGGCCGCTCCTCTGCCCAGGAGGCCCCGTGTCCCCTACACTCTTCCAGATGCTAACAGTCCCCAGGGAGGTCCCACTAAGGGCCACCAGCTCCACAAAGCCCTCCCCAAGGTTCCTGGACACGTCTCTCTAACCTCATGCTGTCCTCCACCACAGTACCGAGTGCCTACTCCTCAAAGAGTTTATTCAGTGACTGTCTTCTCAGTGCCTTCCATGCACAAGCCACTACACGAGACACCACGAGCAAGGCAAGGATGGTTTAGATCCGGTGCATGGAGATGCGAATACGACCACCCTCACTGTAGTGTGAAGACACAGGAGAGGGGGAAAGTGACCTCAGGGAAAAGAGGGGTCACATCTCACAGGCTGGAACAGAGAAGGCTTTACTGAGGTTATGCTGGAACGAAACCTTGAAGAACAGGGTCTGATTTCAACAATTAGAGATGAAGGAAAGACATTTCCTGCAGAAGGAACTCTGTAAAGTGTATCTGGGGCAAGGATGGATTGACAAGTGTGCAAAAGAAAAGAAAGAAAAAGAAAAGATGAATGCCAAGCCAAGAAGTCAGGATATTCTTTTGCAGGCAGTAGGGAGCAGGTCAACGACACTTCCGAGTAGTGTTTTAGGAAGAGTCAGCTGGCAGCTGGGTGTAGGAGACGAAGGCAGGCAGAATGCTTAGAAGGACATTACAACAGGAGGAAGAAGCAATCACATTGAACCAGAGGACTGGCAACACTCCCCCCGACACTGGGCTGCTGGGGCACTCCTGGCTCCTTTCACAGTGAGTTGTGGGGGTCAGGACCCTTACTGGAGCGGCACCTCCCACAGTCGTGCCAAACACACTGTCCACACGGGACAACTGCGCCTCATCGCGTTCTCTGTGATACTATTACTGTGGGCTTAGACGGTGCGCCCCCTGCGGGCCAGGGCTCTGTTCCAGATCTCCGCCTGCCCCTCAAGGGCACTGTGCATAGCGACTACTCATTAATAGTTCCCAAACACGTCAGCCCACTCCCAAGGCGTCCTTTCCACAGTTCCTGTCTCTTGGAAAGGCCTCTGACCCTTGATCAGCACTAGGATTATCTCACTGTTCTGTGATGGGGTCTCCTCTAGCCTCAGAACACATCTGTAGTCTCCTAAAACCCAAGCTGGGCTTAAACCAAAAAAGAACAATCCAGTAAAAACAGGAGAAACAGGAGAACACAGGTTAGCCAGCAGAGACCGTGAGAAGAAAGCAGAGACATAAGTTTACCTGAATCTGTAATTGGCTTCTGTAACTCCAGACCAAAAGAGCTGTACCAAATGATTTACATTTAAAGATATTACTTTTTGAAAGAAGCATAATGACTGCTTTTCTGTCAGAGATGGCAGGAAGGAGCACTCTCCTTCCTTAACAAAAGTCAGGCAACCTGCTGGGGTCTTAACCTGGTGACCCAGTCTGGGGAAGACCTATGCCCAACATATGGGGGTGGGAGGAAGGAGGGGGTCCCACCTCTCCTGACCTCCCATGGGACCAGATAGACATCTAGAGCATCATCTATACGTTATATTCTGAGGGGCCTAAAAGATCTCCCTTCACCACCACCACCTCCTCCAGCCACTGATGCTGAAATGCCCGCAGTGGAAGCATCAGAAATTGACTTCCCAGGGCTGGGGCACAGTCCTTGTCTGTCCGTCCACTCTCCTTGCGTGAGGAGCTTTCCCCAGAGGTATGAAGTGGCTTGGCAGATGGCTTTCTAAGATGACAGTTGTTTCGATTGGGGACAGGGAGGAGGGGAAGGAGAGAGCATTTTGGAACCTCTCCCCATGCGATGCCCGGAGGCTCCTGGACAGCAGGAAGGGCAAGGCTGGGGGAGAGGAGAGGAGGTGGAAGGAGCAGAAGCTTCTCACTGCTCACAAGCTTGCTCTACAGCTGAGACTGTTCTCATTCGCAGAAGCTGATTTTGGGGGTGGGGGGGTGTCTGGAGGAAGGGGTGGGATCTCAGATAGTTTTTCCTAGAGAATCGGACACACTAAACTGGTCGACTAGGGGGAGGGCTCATAGGACGAGACAAAGAGGAATAGTTATCTTTACAGAGGGATTCCAGGCACGGTTACTTTAAATAGAGGGCACCCCGCCTACCCTATGTAAACCGCGCTTTCATCTTGCTGAATGAAGCGAAACCCAGTGGGCCCCCTCTGACCAGCCTTCAACCCCAACAGAAAACGGCAAAAACACAAACTCCTCTTCCCCACACGGCTACCAGGCCCCACCATGCTAGCTTCTCCTGCCTCTGGGTCGAACGGCTCGGGCTGGTGTGGCGTGACAACATTCTGGAAGCCACGCTTGTACCCTGCAACAGGCTGTTCCTGGGCTAGGCGCCCATCCACCCCTGGACTCTACGTCCACCCTTCCTGGGGCCGCGGCCGGCCAGCCAGCCAGCCAGCCAGGCAGCCGGGGCCTGCGCCGAGCAAGGTCTCGGAGTCGCCTAGAGCTCCTTCGAGGGGAAGGGGCAGCTATTCTTTAAGCCCAGGTGACCCGGAAGGGAGGAGCATGGGGGAGCAGGAAGGCAGACAGAGGCTGGGGGAGGGGACTTTGGGGGAATTTCGGAAAGAAACTATTGGGTGACAAGGGAGCATTCTAGCGCAGAACACAGAAGAGCTTGGGAATTGGGAGGGACTCGGGGCGCAGGAAAAGAAACAGGGAGCAATTTGGGGAGAAGGGTTAGGAGCTAGAGCGATCCGCAGAGTAAGCGCGACTGGGAAAGAAGCAACTGGAAGCCGGGCGCGCTGAGCGTAGGGCCGCGACCAGGGAGAGGAGGCCCGGAGCGGCGCTGTGACCTGGGGGCCCTGCCGGCGCCCCGCGCCCGCCCGCCCCCTGCGCCCGGCCTCGCCGCCGCCCCGGGCCCCCCGCGCCCGGCCTCGCCCCCGCCCCGCACCCCGCGTCCCCCGCGCCCGGCCTCACCGCCGCCACGGCCTCCTGCAGCAGCGCCCCGAGCCGGCTCAGCATGATGGCGGCCGGGCCGGCTCCCGGGCGGCGGCGGCAGCGGCGGCGGCGGCGGGGCGCGGCCAGGGAGGCGGGGCCGGCGGCCCGGTCCGCGGGGAGCAGGCGCGGGCCCCGCAGGCCGAGGGGCCCGGGGCGCCGCCGCGGGGGGCGCGTTCCAGCCGCGGGCCCTGGGAGTCAGGGGCCGCGAGCGAGCGACCCTTGGAGCAGGCGAGTGGGACCGGGAGGTTCTCCGTGAGGAGCGAGGAGGTGTGCGGGTTCCGTGGGTCTCTGGCCGCCACCCCCTGTCCAACCCCGCAGCCACTGGCCACGTGGGGCTGTCGAGCCCTGAAAGTGCCAGGCCTCCTGGAGATGTGCCGAGTGTGAAGTGCACCCCGATTCTGGAGACGTAGGACAGAGAGAGAGAAGGTAAAATACCTCTCTAATGTTTTCTATTGATTACACGTGGACATAGTAATATATTAGACTGGTTTAAACAAAGTACATTGTTAAAATTAACGGGGCTGCCCGGTGACACGGCAGTTAAGTTTCGCACGCTGTGCTTGGCAGCCCAGGGCTCACCCACCTGGATTCCCTGCGCGGACCTATGCTCGCTCATCAGGACATACTGTCCCAGGCGTCCCACATATAAAGTAGAGGAAGATGGCACGGATGTTAGCTCAGGGCCAGTCTTCCTCAGGGGAAAAAAAATTAACTGCACTCGTGGCTTGTTCCTTTAAGTGGATACTGCGCTGGTCCAGAGACCTGGGAGAGGAAGTGATAGTTGGCCGGTTTGTCCCTTTTAGCCTCACCAAGGAAAGAAACAGAAGGTGAGCTCACCGGGGAAAATTACTGCCAAGAATTACACAGGCAGCCCCTCAACAAGAGCAGGGTTTCCTGGAATGTACAGAGCACCAGCCTTAGGGATGGGGCTTTCTAGCAGCCAACTCTGCCAGTTTAAAGCCCGTCCCCGACCCCGTTCACCTCCCTGCCCATAGAGGAAGGAGACTCTTGCTCAGGACAGGGCTGATGTCTGCTCAAAAGGTATTTCTGCTGACCGGTGACAGCATGTGATGAGAGAGTAAGGCATTAAGGGTCCCACCAGGGAAGCGGGTAGCCCCTATCACAGACCTGTGGGACTTAGATCTGTGGGATCTCAGGGCTTTGCTGCACCAGCCCTGCCTTTTGGGCCCCATGCACCAGTTAGGCTGAGGCCTAGTAGACAGCGCTGTGCCCAGAGTTGGCTGTGTGCTGTGGAGTAGAGCATGCGTCCAGACAGCCCAGGGGGCGGGCTCTGGACCTAGCTAGGGCCAGTGTTCCTCTGAGCCAGGCTGAGCTTTCAGCGGGACCGCAGTTCTCCCACTGCCGCTTGGGGAAAATAGACGTTTTCAAAGAGTTCACCTGCACACGGGCCCTGGTGAAGAGCCCTGGGAGAGGAGGAGGCTTTTAAGCCAAAATCTTTGAGAACAAAGGGAAGAAACAAGCCTGTTTGTGTGTTGAGAATTAACCCAGAACGTGGGAGAGCTGTGTGCAGTCCGGCTCGCTCCTTCCTGGGCCCCCTGCCTCAAGGGTGAGGGGAGCGGCCCCTGGACTGAATCAGTGTTCCCCTCAGCGTGCTTCAGGGAACGCTGGGGCATGGGGGAAGCGCATCAGGAATCCATAACCTTTTATTTGCCTGCTTTTAAAATTTTATTTTGAAAGCTCTAATGAAAGTCAGTGGACACACTTATATGTGTTATATGCCAAAAGTATGTGAGCCCACTGACTGATGGGTTTAAACCCTGCCGCCACGGAGCTCGTTTGGGAGAAGACCTTTGAATAGAGTGTCTCCTGCTGTCAGCCTAAGTGGAGGTAGCAGGCTACTGCAGAGCCAACGGTTTGGAATGAGCAAGTCGCTAGCCCAGAATCAAGGAGAGGGGACGCAGACGCCGCCAGGCCACCCCGCTCCACAGGAGTGGGAACCGATTTGCACACGTGTTTAAACCACCACAATTTTGTAACAACTTATCTGTGTGAATCAGGATTTTCTCCATACTGTGCAACCAAATACAGTAATAAATTAGACCCTGCCCTTGATAGAAGGGCAACTGTCATCTGTAACCCTCGACTTAAAGCTGTTTTCTTCATCAAAGCTTATTTTTTAGTCATCATAGCTTCTTTGTTCTCATTGATTTTCATAATAACTATAAAATTCAACTCATAATAGTAAGCTCTAATTTTTACAAACAGTTTTGCTACTAAAAATATTTGGAAACTACTGGACTAAATAATCACCAGGGTCTTGCGTGTGTGCGCGCGCTCTGGGGAGAAGGCCTGCGGAGTCTCTCCCTAAGGTTTGGTTTTAGGGCCCAGCTCTACTCTGAGTCTGTCTAAATCTCAGGAACTTAAAATCCTCCAGGACTGAACATCCAGTCTGCCCCACTACAGACATGTCCACTGCTCAGCACCAAGCCTGTAGACGCTCTGTAGACGCGGGGGTGCTGGCCTTGCCACCACTGTGCCCCTTGTGCCAGAACAGGGTAAAGCACTTGCTGAGTGCCCGGCTCGGACCACTGCTCTCCTGCCGCCCTCCAGGAGGCAGCTGTGCGCTCCTTCTCCACTGGCAGCTGTGTGTAGCTTCAGGCTCCAGATGAAATGTCTACTTCACAGTGTCCTCATTCGCTCAAAGAATTAAAGCCACCTGTCCTGTTGACCTCACAGGTTGTTGAAAGGATAACACAATGTTGCAGATGTAACAGAACTGCAGTTGAAAGTGATCGCTCTCATTTCAGTGATTCTTACCCACTTTGCTTTTGCTTCAGCCCAAGGGGCTAGAAACTCGCCCCCGGGGTAGGAGACTTGATTCAGTTCCCAGCTCCAGCCTTAGGCTCACCTGTTCCTGCTGATGGCATGCCTCTATACGCGCCCGCACCTAGGTTCTCTTCCAGCTGGGTGAGGCCGGCCCCTCCCCGAGCACCCACCACAAAGTCCCCCTGATCTTCCAATAAAATCTTGACCCCCTGCGACAGGCCAGTCCCATGTCTACCTCCCCTGGTAGGCCTCGCCAGGTCAACGAAGACCAAATTACCCCCTCCTCTCTCGGCCTCCACTAGTCGCTCCTGCTAGATTTCATCCATCACTTCTCCATTCCTTAGTGCTCCCTGCCTGATCCTCGACAATCACGTCTGTTTGACCTTTGCTGTGTGTTTGGCCTCAGGGCCTCAGTGGAGGCAGCAGAGCAACCTCCCCTCCTCGCTGGCTCTCCTTCCAGGCTCCAGAGTGTGCATTTCTGCCCCCTCCTCCGTGCCACCATCACACAGCCCCTGAGGGAGGGGAGGCAGCCAGGATCCTGCTAGACTAGCCCCTGCTTGTGTGGCCCAGGGTTGGGGCAAGGGCAGCGTGTGTGCCACCCCTCCACCTCCTCCAACCCTGTGTCCTCCCCATCTGAACCCTCGCTTATGTGCGTTCCCTCAGCCTGGCATCACCTGTCCCTCACCCGGCTCTGGTGGCTCATAAAGAACAAATAGCTTTGGGGACCCAATGCAACCTTTTAATTCCAAGCAGAGTCCCCCTCCCCAGCATTGTCACACACATAGTGGAAAGGGATGCCAGGGTCTGGGCAGGAACAAAACCCAGACCCAGGCAAAAAAAATATATATATAATTATATTCACATATGTCTTTGAGAGAAGAAAAGCGGGGACTGTGATTGAGGTGGGGCAGAGTCAGGTGGGGGAAGCAGCTGGGGGGCCCCGATAAACTACATTCTTCGGACAGCATGGTGGGGGTGCATGGGAGTGGATGGGACCTGGTGGCCAGGACACAGCCTGGCCTCTTGATCCCATCCCAGGGAGCCTGCAGGGCTGGGTTCTGGCCGGGCCCTGGGTGCTAGAAGGTAGGAGCCTAGCTGACTTTGCCTGGAGGCTGATGGTGAGCTGGGTTTGTACAGGCAACATCTCCACTCCAAGCCAACACTTTTGGGGAAGCCGCAGGGCTGAGCAAGGGGCTTCGAAGCTTGAGGGTCACAAGGAGAGGACAGGGTGAGCTGGAGGGCAGGACGGCCTCAGGGCTAGAGGCTGAGCTGGAGCCTGCCCTGCTAGAGTGAGAGGAACAGGAGGCCAGGGCTGGGGAATGTGTCCCAGGTGAGGCGAGAAGGCGTGCCTGGGCACCCACAGGGTCCTGGGGCTCTCCTCCCGGCCCACCTGCCTGCTCCCTACTCTCACCTCCTCCTGCCCACCAGCTGGTGAAGATAGCCGACAGCCTGACCACTAAGCGCCACGTTCCTTTCTCCTCACTCTCTTCTGGGGACCTTCATGTAGGGGCAGGGGCAGGGGCAGGGAGAGGCTGCAAACATTAACTCTGTGTGTGCTGGAGTCCAGACAGGTTTGGCCCGTGCAGTGAGGACCAGGCATGAGAGGAGGCAGCCCCTCACTCCTATGGGGAAGAAAGCCCCTGGGCCATACACCAGCACTGCAGACGGCTTGGCTCCCCTACACCTGGGGAATGGAGCCAACCCCACCTCTGCCCCACCCTCCTGCTCCCTCAAGAGATGATGCTTTGGGGTCTGGTGACCCCAGCTGCAGAGCCCTGAAGCAGCAGAGGTGAGGGTCAGTCATGGAGAGGGTGGGGCAATCAGAAGAGAGAGGCCTTTTTCTTGAGTTCGTTCCGCTTCCACAGCGCCAGCTTGCTGAACTCTTCTGGTGACATGGAAAATACCCTTGAGAAGTCCTCTGCTGACAGATGCCTCTGTGAGGGGGACACAGAGGCCGCTTAGGGACAGGAGGCGGGGTGGGCTTGGCCAAGTGACTAAAGGAGTACTCAGACAGGCCCCAGGCCCTGCCCACCAGGCCGGGGAGGCTGCCCACCGGTAGCCCTACACCCACAGGCACATTTCCCCTGTGTACCTCAAGCCTCATCCGGTCCACACCTGGAGGCAACTTGCTTCGCCCCTTATTGGTCACCACCAGCATTTCGTAGGGATAGATCTGGGGGATGGGAGGGTGCCGGCTCAGGCTCAGGAAGTTTCCTGTTGATGTAACCCCCTCAATACCCTAGGCCCCCTTATCAGCTTGCAGGGGCCACAGGGGCTCATGCCATTTTGCCGTCCGTCTCCCCCAACTTCCCTGCTGCCCCCCATCATCTCCAGGAGGACCCCTTAGCGCATTCACTTCCCTGGCTTCTCCCCCAGCGGCCCCACCGCTGCCCACCGCCCCCTGGCTCTGCCCCTGCCCCTCACCTTCTGCTCCAGCACACAGGGCAGGGAGTTCCCCCGGTCCATCCTCCCCCTCTGGCCCTCTCCGTTCTGGGGAGACCAAAGCCTCAGTGAGCCAGAGTGGGGCAGGGACACCTCCCCAGCCTTATCCTGGGCTTCTCATGTCCTCACCAGGCAACTCTGGCCCACACCCCCTCCCCTAATACTGCAGTTGCCCAGCTGTGGCCTCGGAACTCTGGTGCTCCGTGCGTTCCCCTGCACTCACCTGCAGGCCTGCGGGAGAGAAAAGTCATTGTTCAGAGGCAGCTCTGAGGACAGCAGGCCTCCAAACCTGCCAGCACAGCCTCCCAACCTCCAGACCTGGGCTGCCCGAGGGTCTGCTTAAGACCCTTTCCCAGCTCGCCTGGCATCAAGAAAGCCCTGCCTCTCACCTGGGCTCCCACTTTCACTCCCAGATGGGCTGAAGTCTGTGGACTGTAGCTAGAAAGGACACAAAGGGATCAGTAGGAAGCTGGAATACTCTGCCTCGTTCCCCTTCTCTTTAAGGGTCTCCCTGCTCCCCCAGGATGCCCAAGTAGCTCAGGCCCTCCGAGGCCCCCACGTGCACACTCTTCCCATGCAGTCCATTATCACTGGTCTGCGACCTTACCCGGCTTAGGGTGGTCCTGCCGTAGGCGGGGAGAGAAGACGACTTAGACGTTCCTGCATGCAAAGCTGGAAGAGAGCAAGAGCCGGGCTCAGTCCCTTTGGCCCGACTGTGATTTCTGAGAGGGCTCCCTCCCTCGCTTCCCCTGCCATGGGCAGGCAGTTAAGGGTGGGCGTGGGGGAAACTGGTGGGCCTCTGTTGGCTTCCAGCTCCTGCGAAATGCTTTCAGCAAGTGACGTGCTGGCAGCTCTGAACTGACTCTAATGCCTTCCCTCTCCCACTAACAGAAGTGCACCCAATACACATGTGGGCCAAATGCCCGAGTCATAACTGATGTCAGCCGGTGACAGATGACGAGGCTCACCATCAAAAAATGAACCTCTGGGAAACAAAATGAATCTAAAGTCTAGTCAAAATAAGCAAATTATTACAACTTTATTATTAGCAATGTTAGTAATCAAATTTCAAACATTTGATGTTATAATGCAGAAACAACAATTTTCTCAGCACTCTCAGCCCCTAGATTGCACCAGTGGTCAGTACCCTTCACATCTGCTCGATCAGATGTCACTGTCAACTTGCACATTTCATGACATCACTAAGCTTTCAAGCACTGCAGATTATAACTCAAGAAACTTGGTTTTCAGTAATAGGTTTTCCTAGAAAGAACTTCGTACCTAAGGATCTCAGTTTAGGGAGATCTCAAAACTCCTTCATCTCCAAATGCTAGAAATTGTTGGCATTCGATAGCAATTGTTTTGATAAACATTTTTGTTTAAAAGGTTAGCCTGGATAGACTCAAAACTGTAAAGGATTGTCTTCTTAAAACATTCTTATAAAATCTGTTGTTTGATGGGGCTGGCCTGGTGGCACAGCAGTTAAGTTCGCACGTTCCGCTTTGGTGGCCCAGGGTTTGCTGCTTTGGATCCTGGGTGCAGACATGGCACCACTTGGCACGCCATGCTGTGGTGGGCGTCCCACATATAAAGTAGAGGAAGATGGGCATGGATGTTAGCTCAGGGCCAGTCTTCCTCGGCAAAAAGAAGAGGATTGGCGGCAGATGTTAGCTCAGGGCTAATATTCCTCAAAAAAACAATAAAACAATAAAAATAAAAAATAAAATCTGTTGTTTGGAAGTTTGTTTGGTGAGAACAAAATGTATTTTGGGGACCTAGTTTTTTTTTCTTAACACTTATTTTGGTATAGAAAATTTTCTCCTTCCACAATCATCATTCATCACTGGAGCATTTCACTTCTGCGGTAAGTATGTGTTGCTACTACAAGTGACGGAGAGAAGTGCAGCCTACAAAGCACATAAGAAGATTTTCACTCTAAATTACTTCTGGAATGCTCATTTATGTTTGAAAGTGACCATTTCAATGTTACCATGACATCAGAATGACATGCCTTTCATAATTCTGAAATTGCTGAGATTGATTAGTTATGACAGTAACCTACACAATCATATGGTCATTGATCACATACCAGTTCAGGGATGCCAAAAATGATAGTGAGGTAGACATTTGGCTATTCGACTTTGGAAGGCTAAGACGGAAGTTAAAGAGCCAATTTTGACTGAATTCTGGTGGAGCAGGAAGACTGCATGCAACCTTGGCAGCATCTCTCCATCGGCCTCATTCTTCAGGCCTTCGCTATTTATTCCACATTCTCTAAAAAGGGCTACTACCAGAACTCTTCCCACCCCCACTGAAATGTCATCCTGGCAGCTTCGGTGACCCTGTGGATGTCCTAGTTACCTAGGAACCTTATGGCTCCTTGAATCCCCAACCCTAATACATCAGGGAGCCCCTTCAGATGGCTATCCCCTGGGTCTTGTCACCCACAACTGCTTCACCTTGACATCTGAAGCCCAGATACCCATGCTGTGGCCACAGCGTCCTTCTTTGTTGGCAGCTTCTCCTCAGCCTCATTCCTAGCACATCTGTTCGTCACTCTCATGGGCACCTCCAGTGTCTTGACTCCAACCCTCAGAGAAAGGTCTTCCGAGGCCAGCCTCCCACATCCTGAGGCTGGGTCTCCTTCAGGACCTCGCACCCAGCGCTCCGCCTGGATCCCCTTCCCTCTCAATCACATTTCTTCTCACGGCCTTATTACTTCATATAAGCTGAAGACTCTCCCTGAGCCCTGACTCGCCCCTCAAGCTTCCAGCTCAGTCAAACTCGCTCCCACCTACATACACTCCAAAGGCAACATGTCCCAAACGAGTGTCTTCCTCTTTGCCCCCAAACCTGCCTCTTTCATCCTCTCAGTTCTAGGTTTGATCACCTGGTACCCAAGACAAAACCCCAGTTTGTCTCTCCCTTTCCCGCTTCCAGTCAGACACTGAGTCCTGGTGATTCCATCTCCTATATAGTTCTCAAACCCATTCCCTCTTCTCTGGACCTATGGATATTTTTAGCCCATATCCAGACAACTGGAAAGTGTGGGAGACTGACTCCAAAGATGGCCCGCAACATTACGCCCAGCCTGCATGGTTTTGTGCGGTTCCTGTCGTCAGAATGTGGACTCTCTTTCCCTCCCTTGAGTCTAGGCTGCCCAGCGAGCTGCTCTGAGTAGGAGATTGCAGGAAAAGTGAAGCTGTGTGGTTCCCGAGGCCAGGCTTTTAGAGGTCTTGTAGCCTCCAGTTGGGGTTCTCAGCTCTCTCCTCTCCAGCGGCCACACTCTAAGGAAGTCCAGGCCAGACTCCAGTGATTACAGGCATAGTGTCCAAAGCCCTGGCCAGCCCGTCTCTCTGGCTCCTTCCTGCCACCCCATGGCACACTCCGGGCTCTGTGACTCCAGGCTCCTGGAGGCCCTCTAAGCAGGCCAGGCTGTGTCCCGTTCCTTGTCTTCGCTCCCACACTGTCCTCTGTGTCTGTGATGCCCTTCTCCTCCTCTCACTTTGCCTCCTTCTTCACGACTCAGTTTGGCAGCTCCAACCCTCCGACCCTGGGCCTGTCATTGTCCTCTCAAAGCACCCGCTGTGCATCTTCCATCTCAAAACACCGCTACACTGACTGAAACCCGTTTCCGTGTCAATTCTCCCACTGACTGGAAGCTACTGGAGGACAGGACTCGATTTTTTTCACTCTTTATAATCCCCAGTGCTTAGCACATAGACGCTCCATAGATGTTTGTTAAATTAAACGAAATTTACTGATTCTGCTTCAGCTGATACCATCTTTTATCATCTAGTCTTGTTCCATGACTGGTGTCCTCGCTCTAGGGAGAGCGTGAGCGCCTGGGGGCAGCAATCTAGTCTTCGTTGTCTCTAATCCTGCAGCAGCACAGTGCTGGGCACATGACACACAACACACACCCTATTCGATTCTGGCCTCAGGGTCTGGCCGGGTGACCCTAATCCCCTCCACGGCACTCACAGGTATGAAAGGGTGTCCGGTCAGGCAGAGAGCGGGTCTTCCTCCGGATAGGCAATGATTTTTCCATCTCTTCTTTCAAGATCATCTTTCCCAAGTTGGAAGTAACCTGGGGAGGGAGAAAGGAAGATGGATCCAGGACTTTGATACTCGTTTCTTATCTCCAAAAAGTTCAGAGTTGGGTATACTGCAGGCAGGACTAGGGACAATTTTCTGAGTGGCTGGGCCATGCCCTGGAGCGACGGAGCTGGTCATTCTGGTCGGATGCACTGCCACCTTGGGTCTGGCCCCCCTCAAGAGCGAGGAGTCAGGGCTGCTCAGTGCAACTCTACCCCAGTGGGCTCCCTGTCCCAGATCACGATGCCCAGAGCACAAGCCCATGTCACTGCCAGTGGCCTTCCCATGACACCCAACGCCCTCTCTCTTCTCCTGCAGACCAGCAGCCTACTCTCTCCTTTCTCCTCCTCCCAGGAACTACTCAGCCTAGTGAAGCCTGGTACTGGTGGGGCCACCCTTTTCTGTGCTTTTGACCTTAATATTAACTAGCATTCCCCCCAAAACAGCAGTGAAGTTCTGGTGTCCCTTCGAAAGCAGTAACTGGAAATCCCAGGAAGGAAGAGGAGTTCCTCGCATGTTCTGACAAGGATGCTCTTGAAGCATGAACCCATTTAGAAGAGAATAGCTATGAAACCAGATGTTTGTCCCCAAGAAGACACGGTGGCAGGGGGATAGCGAGATGCTACCTTGCTGAGCTCCTCCCTCTGACGCTCCCTGAGCGCCTTCATCTCCTCCCCGGAGTCATCATCTTCCTCCTCCTCCTCCTCCTCCTCTGCCCCTCTCCGTGACGCCTTCCGCCGCCTCCATTCTGTTTCTGGGAAACACGGGCAAAAGCAGGCATGTCAGTCAATCGACCATTTGCTCAACAAGCGTTTACCAGGAGCTGGCTTTGTGCAGGACACCAGGCTGCACCCTAAGGAGAACACTACAAATTATTTTTAAAAAATAAGGGGCCAGCCCGGTGGCACAGCGGTTAAGTGCATACATCCTGCTTTGGCGGCCCGGGGTTCGCTGGTTCTGATCCAGGTGTGGACATGGCACCGCTTGGCAAGCCATGCTGTGGTAGGCGTCCCACATATAAAGTAGAGGAAGATGGGCATGGATGTTAGCTCAGGGCCAGTCTTCCTCAGCAAAAAGAGGAGGATTGGCAGCAATTAGCTCAGGGCTAATCTTCCTCAAAAAAATAAATAGAAATGAAATAAAAATGACGTAAAAGTAACATTTTCTAGCCTTGCAGTGAAGCTGGGTAGGCAACACATTCATACGACTTAAATTCACGGGGGACCAAGGCTCATTTCTCTTTCTCTTTTCCAGAGCTCCTATCACAGAAGCTGGGACGCAGAAGTTTGATAAATGTCTGCTGAGTGGGCAAGTCAACGAACAGAAAGTGAACGAATGACTAACAAATAGGGCCACTTATACCAAGAGCCATAGGGATGCAGGGAATGGCTGAGCAATGAGCCTGGAGGGCCCGAGAAGGAGGAAAAAAGCGTGAGAAGACCTGTAGGACACGGGGTGGGGTGAGGGGGCTCATGGCGCTTCAACAGGGGCTGTGAGGCGGGGTCCCGGCCTCCCTTTCCCTTCTTCAACAGTTTCTCCTACCCACGACGGCCAGCGACGGGGGGCACGGCCAGTAGTCAGTTTCGATCTTGGCTGGCTGGTTGGGGTCAGGCGGCTGGGCTGCAGGGAACTTGGATGACTCGATGATGTCCTCATGGAAGGGCTTGCTCTGAGGGCTGCCTCCCATGGACTCTGCAGGGGGAGGTCAGGGTCAGCCCACGCACACCCCGCCCGGAGGCCACCTTGGCCCACCGCCAGCTGCCAACTCCCTTGCCTCTCCCCTGTCACACCTGTGAGATGGTAGGTGTAAGGACAACCAAGAGCCCCGGGCCAAGGTTATGTGCTGTCACGAACAGCTGTCCTACGGCCCCCAGCCCCCAGCCCCTCAGCACAGCCTCCCAGCATGTGGCAGGAAGGGGCTCAGTCAGTCAGGGGAGCCCTCACCTCTCTGCTTGTAGATGGGTGGCTTCTTGTAGATATTGGAATCTGGGCGGGTGGTCTCTGCGGAGAGGGAGCAAGAGCAGATGAGGAGGAAGACATGCTGATGGTGGCCGAGGCCACGTCAGTGAAGAGAATGGAGACCAATGGAAGGGGAGAAGGTAGAAATTCATGGGCTCCTGCCTAGAGCCAAGACAGAACCAGAGCTCCTAGAACCATCCCTCAGGAGGATGGGACTTTTTGCGCTTTTCTCGTTGGGTGGGAGGGAAGACGCGCCTGGGCCCACCGTCTCTGGGCGCCCTGCCTGGCGTGCTGGTATCAGGGCATATAGCCAGTCCTGTGGTGAGCATCTACCACAGGGAGCGGGGGACTGAGAGAACGGGGCTTGGGTTCCTGAAGGAAAAAACAGGTCCTAGGGAAAGGATACAACCATGCTGACAGTAAAACCTACCAGGGTGGTGGAAATGGGGCAGGCTGGTCCGGGGGGTCCCGGTGGTTCTTGGGGCTGAAGCCTGAGAGATGATTCCAGGGGACCGGCTCTCTGCCCACACCTGCAGAGCAGAAGTGTGGTTCGCTGCAGCTCCCAGATCCCCCACCCTGCTCCCTCCAACCCATGTAGATGCCTCTTCACCTCACTCTACCAGCTCTATCCTCCCACCCTAGCAGCCCACAGCCCTCAACCCTAGAGCAGAGGAAGGGTGTCCAAGCAGTGGACCTGCTGATGGTACCTGACACAGGCAGAAAGGGTTAAATGAGGCCATGGATCAGACAGACAGACGGACACAGATCTGGCCAGTGACAAGACAAGGTCCACCGATTCCGTTAAGCCCTGGGTTCTGCAGAGCCCGGCCTACCACGTGTGGGGAAGGGCAGTGGGGCCCCACCTGAGCAGGGCTGCGGAGCATCAGGCGCGGGCACACTCACCTCTGGGGATGGTGGGGGGGATGTGGATTTGGGTGACAGAGAGCGCTGCGAATGGAGAGGAGGCTGGTCAGAGCCACAAGGGTAGGATTAAACTCTTGTTCCTAGAACCCCAGATGGGCCACTTCATCCCCCACCTAATTTGGCACCCTTTGCCTGGCCAATTTCCAGACCACCTCTTTTCTCTCATTCACGGTCAGTTCCCCGGGCTGGCCCTCTCTCCTTCTCCCTCCTGGTACTCTCCTGGGCAGGGCCCTAAGTCTTTCCCTAGGAAGCATGAGGAAGCCATGGATCTTGGGACAGTGTGCTCTGAGGGCCAACTGAAGATGGTGGCGACCCTGCCCTCAGGGCCTAGCAACGAACGGAGGGATAAGACTCACAAGCATCCCGAATGGAGTCCTCGCCAGGTATTTAAGTCTCCCACAGCCTGGCCCCATCTCACACTCAGCCATGACACTACCCGCTCAGCCATGACACTACCCGTTTCACGAATACAGTTTACAAGGTACCTGCCGTGCGTTATCTTGTGCACTTGACCACCTGGTGAGGTGGACCTGGTGAGGTATCACCTGTTTTCCAGGAGGGGAAACCGAGACTACAGCGACACACAGCTCACTCAGCTAGGACTTCCAGCCTCCGAGTTCAGTGTTCCTGAGCGCTTTCCACAAATTTGCTCTCTCTGCCCACTCCCACCCTGCTCCTGCAGGACCCCCTCTGTGCTGTTCTTCCACACATGGCCCGCCTGCTCTCTGCAGGGAGCCACCCCACCTCTGGCCGCTCCGCCTGCTTTCCACAAACACTGACTGGTGGATCGCTGTGCACAGCTCCCTTTCTTGTTCTGGAGTCTGGCCGCCAGGAAAGAAAGCACGACAGGGGTTCTGCCTGCCACCCAGTGTGGCTAGGGGAGCCCTTCCCTCCAATCCTGTCCAAGAGGAACCTGCCACCCCTCACCTCCCGGCTCCTGGGCAGCTCCACGTGTTCCAGGAGAGAATAGGTAAAGTGGGGCTCGTAGATCATGAGGTCAGGCCGCTCGATGTCCAGGATGGCCTTGTCCTTGGGGATGGCGGCCAAGTCCTTGTAGCCCAGCACCTGATTGTCCATCTTGGCCTAAAGGGAAATGTGAGAATGGAACAGAGGTGCCGAAAGCCTCCCCTAGAACACTGGCCTTACAAGCCAGACTCACTGTTATTAGGAAGAAAATGGGCAGCCATTTTAGATATCAGCTCTTCTAAGTTGATAATTCTGTTATGTTAATTTTGAGGGTTTAGGTAGTCACGTTCAAAAAGGCTAGTCCATTGCCTAGTATTCTGGGTACAGTAGAAAAGGGGCGTGGGGAACCTTCTCTGGATTTTGGGTTCTCTCTGCAGGACCACCAAGGAGGCTCTGAGTGAACCTGCCCAGCAGCGGGCTGTCCCCCGCCCCTCCCGCTCCCAGCCTGAGGGTGCTGGTGGCGGAGAGGTACTCACCACGACGATGGAGGGAGAGCCGGGACCACTGGAGCCTCGGGAGGAGCTGACGCTCCCAGGGGAGGTGAGTGGTTGCTGGGGAGAGCGAGAAGGCGAGCGGGTGGGAACGTGCGTGCATGCGTGCGAGGGCCGGGCGGCCGGCAGGGCCCTTCGGAAGGCGGAGGACCGGCCCGGGGACGGGGCTGGGGCTGGGGCGGGGGGGTTCCCTAGGCCTCTGGGCCCTGGGGCGCGGCGCTGCGGGCAACCACCAGGTGGCACCATCGCCTCCCGGCTGACCCTCCGCGGGGAAGCCCGGCCCCACCCGGGGCCCGGGGCCTCGCTGCCCGGTGAAGGCGCCGCCGCGCACCTTCTGCAGCCGTTCCATGCGGCAGGCAGCTGGCTGCTCCGGTCGCTGGCAGAACCCTGGGCGCGAGGAGGGGCGACAGGGGTCAGGCGCTGCGGGGTTCCTGGGCGCTGCGCGCGCGGGGCCGCGAGAGCAGAAAGGGCGTTCCGCCGGGCCGCGGCGTCCTCATCCCTCGGGACTCTCCAGGCTGCAGGCCGGTGCAGGGCCTGGGAGGGGAGGGACGACGCGCCAGTGAGGGCGGCGGAGAGCAGGGCGGCAGCGCGCCGGGGCCCCCCTGGGCTTGCCTCTCCATTCGCTCGGCCGGGAAAGCCAGCGCGCGTGGGGCCCGCGAGGCGGGAAAGTGGAAGCGCTGCGCTTGTTTTTGAGCCATTGTTCTCTGGCTGGAAAGGAAATGACGGCAGGGGCCAGCCGTTCCGTGCAGCCTCTACATCCCTGCCTTGTCACACCTGCCCTGCCCTGGGGCCGCAGTCCCGTTTCAGACCCAGGTTTTCGCTCCCCTCCGCCTCTGCAGAGGCTGTTCTCCCTAGCTCTGTGCTGCCCCTTCCTCCCACTCCCCATCTATCCGCCGCCGGCTGTGCCACCTCTCCCTCGTGGCCCAGGAAGGTTTAACACAAGACGACTCGGCAAAACCTATGAGGAGGACACACGGGTAAGAGAGGATGGGAATGAAGCCACCTCCTCGTGAAGCGGTCAGATCATTGGCTGGGAGCTGTCCCTCTGCCCCGGGTTCTGCCCGAGATGAAGAAGGGAGGGGAGGCTGGAGGGAGCCCGCGTCCGCCTCTCCCTGTTCCCTGTACAGCAGTCAGTCTCACTTGCAGGCATCTGGTAAGGCATTGTTGGGGCCAAGGCCACATCCGGCTCGGCAGTCTCCTCAGAGTGCCCACGCTGAGGCTGCCCTCCGAAGCACTGCTTGGCTACAAGTCAGCACCCCCTGGCTCCACAGGAAGGCATCCTGGCCGGCACTGCTCTCTCTGTTCCTAGGGCATTAGGGCCCGTCTGCTGTGGTAGATCATGAGTTCCCTGGGGCCACAGCCCAGTCTTCTCCTTTGTCAGTAAGTCCCTAGCAATCCTCCCATCCTCCTCTCCACATCCCTGCGCTGGACACCTCATAACAATTCAGTGAACGCCTAGCTGTTTCCTGCGTGATGGTGGCAGAGAAACTGTCTTTCCATCTGCTGACAATAAGCCATAGAGTGAAGAGAGCTGATGGCTACATAGGGTCCAGGGAGGAGGCAGCATAGTGTAGGGGTAAGAGCATGGGCTGGACGGGAGTACCTGGGTGTGAGTACAGACTGCTACTCAGAAGCTGTGTGACCTTGGGCTAGTTACTTACCATCTCTGTGCCTCACATTTCTCATCCGTAAAATGCAGGATATTAATAGTATGTGTGTCCTAGGGTTGCTCTGAGTATCAGATAAGTTATAGCATGTGAAGTGCTTAAAACATTATAAATTCTATGTAGAGTGTTAGCTATTATTATTTCTATCTTCCCAAGGACTGATGGACTTAGATAGCTTTTCTGTGGCCATTCTTTGCAACAGAGGGTCATGAATGACTGAGGTCATTGGTGCTCCCAATGGTATCACCTATTATTCTGCAGCAGGCCATTCTTCTGCTTCTCTCCACCAGTAACACAACCTGCGGCCCCCACTCCCACTTCCCTGCCTTTGCACGTGCTCTTCTACTATTCTCTGCCTACCCCCTTGTCTCCCAGATCCCTCCCATCCTTCAAGGTCCATCCTAAACCCCGCTCTAGGAGGCCTCCCCACTATTCCAGTCCTCACTGATAAGCCAGTCTCTGAACTCCAGAGACTTAAAAGAGAACCATGTGACTTAGCCCTTGATTATATGCTGCCTGACATGGGAACATGTTTTTCCCCTACCTAGAATGACCGCTAACTTCTGCAGAGCAAAACCAATAATAACAGCAATCATCTTTTGAATGCTCTTGCTAGGTACTTTGATAAGCACTCTACAAGGAATATTTTGTTTGGCCCCAAAACAACCCTATAAGGTGGAACCGTTTTACAGATGAGGAAACTGAGGTTTGGAGAGGTTAAAAACCTGTCCAGAGCCATAGAACTGAAAATGACCTACCTAGTCAGGTGCATTGTGGGGCTAGATTAGAGTCTGCCACATTTCTGAAGGCTTTTTGGTATTCTAGAGCCAAGGCATCTCCGGGACAAGACCCTGGCCATCAGAGTCATGTTAGGTATTTGGTGCCCATAGAAAGGCTCCATTTCAGAGCTACATGCTTCTCTTGCCTTCTTAGTGCTCACTTTGTAGTGCTTTAACTAGGTGTCTGAAGATCAGAATAAAATCTAGGACATATTCGAAGACCCGTTAGCTCCCTCTCACCCCTCTCTGATCTTTACTTTGTTAACAGTCACTGTCAAACTAGCTATCCACTTGGCTTTGCCCTAGAGGCAAACACTGACCCAGTCATCCATCCAGCCAGCCACCCTTCCATCCTTCCACCCCGTCACATCCGCACGTCCATGCAGTCATGTATTGTTTATCCCTCGATTCATCAAATCCTTTCTCAGCACCTATCCTGCAGCAACCACAGAGCAACACTCTGTGATGAGTCTTGTGGAGAACAGAAAGACAGTCAAAGGAACTAAGCTGCCCCACCAGCAATGAGGCATGCGGACAGATAACTCCCACACAAAGCAGAAGATTACAGGTGCCAGATAAGACAGGATAGTGTAAGGGGCTGTGAGAGGTTACAGGAGAGAGGGATCACTCCTGCCAGGGTGTCAAGAGGAGAAAGTAGAAAAGGTTTCTTAGAGGAGGAGGCATTTGAGGCAGGTCTTGAAGGATGCCCAGTTTGAGATCATCAAAACTGAACCAGAGAAAGCAGCACTAGGGAAAGCAGGGACATGGGCAGCACTGGGTCTGTCTGGGCAGCAGCCTATATGGCTGAATCATGGAGGTCACGAGGTTGAGATGTGTTTGGGGCAGGTGGTTGGGGGCCAGATGGTGGAGGCCTTGAATGTAGACTAGGGGATTTAGATTGTATCCTGTGGGCGACAGGGGGACATGGAATGTGTAGAAATTATTTTTCAGCAAAGAAGTGACAGATCCAAGCAGCGCTTCAGGAAAATGAGTCTGGCTGCAGCCTGGGAGATGGACTGGACGGGAAGGGGCAGTCCACAGGGGGCCAGCCAGGAAGCTGTGGTGGAAGTTCACACAGGTGACCGTGAGCGTCCAGACTTGGGCAGGCCCGGAAGACGGGAAGGGGGCAAATGCGAGAAACCCCAGGGGTAGAATGTGCAAACCGGAACTTGATCTGAGAGCCCCCAGGGGAGGGGCAGATTGCAAGTCCAAGAGCCAGGAGAAGGGGAAGGATGAGCTCACGTTTTGCAGGTCAGGGCTGAGGTGAGTGCCGCAGGCGACCAGGTGAGAACGCCCAAGGAAGAAGAGCTGCCTGGGGGAGGGCCAGGCTGGAAAGAGAGACCTGGAAGCCATTGGAGCCAGCGGTGTCTCTGCACGGTAGATTGCCATGGATGAAAAAAGGTCAAAAACAGCATCCTGGGAAATACCTAGGTGACTGGAAGAAAGAAACTGGCAAAGAGGGGATGAAAGGGAGGAGGAGAACTGGTGGCCAGTTCCCTGGGGGCTGGGAATGTATCCAGTGATTCTTTGTATTTCCAGCAAAGGCCCTGATGCACAGTAAGTATGCAGTAAACGTTGGGAGAAAGGATAGAGGGAGCTGAGAAAGAAGGTCACGAAGCCAAGAGCCCAGCGCCTAGAGAAGGCGAGAAGTGCCCCAGGGAGCTCGTCAGTTTGGGTGTCAAGGCCTGGTGGCTGATGAGAGCATTTTCGATGAGAGGAAGAGTGATACCTCCTTGTTAGGTAGGGTTCCGGGATGATGCACAGGCCGGGGAGGAGCGCGTCCCAAGTGTGAGCAGAGGGCAGGAGGGCCCGGGAGGGCAGCTCCGGAGGAGGCGAGATTGGCTGAGGGCTTTTAAGGAAAAGGGAGACTTGACCATGTTTGCAGGCAGTGGAGGAGGAGCAGAGAGGAAGAGACTGAGGTGAGGCCGAGGCAAGGCCGAAGTCGGAGGGAGGAGTGGGTCCAGGCCCCAGTGGAGGACTGGCTTTGAGAGAAAGTACGTGTTTCCCTGAACGGAGAGGAAAGGGGACGCAGTTGGGTCACCACAACCCAGGCGTTTAGTGGGACCAGGGCAATCGGAGGCTCCTGTTTCCCGAGGCAAAATGAGAGAAGGTCAGACGCACATCTCCTGGGGGTCAGGCAACGGCTGAAGAGAGTAGCAAAGGTCTGCAAGGGTCTGGGGTCGGGGTGGGTGGGGAGGGTGGGTGGCGGGGCTGGCCTGGGAGAATGCAGAGCTTCCCTGTGCTCTGGAGCCTCCGGCTGAGCCTGGGGTGGCCCTGGCACCCTCGCCTTGAACACCAGTCGGATGTGGCACAGAGTGGGGAAATGACTGTCTCTCAGAGTGCTAACTGCCCAGGTGGGGGTGGGGAACCAGGATGAGCCATGTCACACGTGTCCATGGTCATGCACCCAGCCCCACCCCCCAACGTGCACAAACACATTTCCACGGGCACAGCACTCAGAAACATGATTTGAAATAACGATGTCTCTGCTCTGTGGCCCGGCCCCTTTTTATCCACAGCTCTCCACAGCCCCATGGACTCCCCTGTGCTGGGTCTCGCCCCTTAGCCTCCAGGTGTCTTCTCCCTGGGCCCTGAGCCATGCTCCTTTCAGGCCCTGTGCACCAGCGTCTGGTGTATTAGAAAGCACGCTGATAAACTGTTAATATCTTCCCCTTCCAGGGGTGTCACATTTTAATTTGGGGCTAGACTTAAGGAGTAAGGGTCTTACTGGTGAAATTTTAAGCCGGCAGGGAAAACGTTTTGGGGTGGAGGAGTGTGTGTGTGAGAGAGACAGAGAGACAGAGACAGAGACAGAGAGAGGGAGAGAGAGGGAGGGAGGAGGAGAGGGAGAGAGAGAGAGAGAGAAAGAGAGAGAGAGAGAGAGGGAGGGTGGGAGGGAGGGACGGTTTTCTTGGCTTCTCTCAAATCTCATTATGCAGGAGGCTGTTTACTCCACCCGCAGGTAGCCCCCTCCCCCAAAGCTAATTTCCTGGCAAGTCACCACCCGCTGTCACCCCACCT